AGCTCATGGTGACCCCATGCACAACAGAATGAAATGCTGCCCGGTCCTGCACCAACCCCATGATCAGTTGCAGATCACCACCATCCCATGATCAGTTGCAGATCAGACCATTGCTATCCATAGGGTTTTCATTGGCTGATTTTTGGAAGTAGATTGCCAGGCCTTTTCTCCTATTCCATTTTAGTCTGGAAGCTGCACTGAAACTTGTACAGCATCATAGCAACACACAAGCCTCCACTGACAAGACGAGTGGTAGCTGCACATAAGGTGTGTTGGCTAGGAATCAAACCTGGGTCTCCCACATAGAAGGTGAGACTTACACTACTGAAGAATCAGTGCTTTATTATGCATTGGGTAACTACACAAAAATGTCATTGAGAAGTATTTTTAAAGCCCCAAACTGTGCTTTTCAATGGAATTATCTCAGGGTATGCTCTAATAATGGATAATTTCCTTGCCATTAGCCAAATATGGCATGACAAATTTTCCCTTTCAGAGGGTTGCTGTTTTATTAATTGAACGTGATTTTAAATATTTTTAGTTTTTAAACACTCAACAGGCAGGGTGCTAAAGGTTAGTGTCCAGTAGATAGACCACATGTGACAAATAGGTGGAGGAGGAAAATGGAGGGGGCTGTGGTTGGCCATCCACTCCGTGGGGCAGTGCAAAAGAATGAACTGACCACCACATTATTCCCAAGGACCATGGCTTGGTCTAAAGAGAATGATGGTATGGTGAATGATGAATTAGATGAACATTGTTTTAACAAGTCATAGCCATGATTTACAATTCTTCTAGTGGGTGACCCATTTTCAAGCTAAAAGGAAGTCAGTCACAGAACCACTGTCACTCCTTCAATCTAGATGTGAGTCACCAGGCATCACTGGAGGTTTTGTGGGAAGTTGAAGACCTGATTGAAGCCTTTAGGTTGCTTGGTTTCAAATTGAGTGATAGGAGACTCTCATAGGTATTATGCAGGGTATTCCTTCCTTCCCTTATTTGCCCCACTTCTCCTCACACACCTGCATGAGTCCTTCAAACACGCTTTTTTTTTTTTTATTGTGCTTTAGGTGAAAGTTTACAGCTCAAGTTAATTTTGACAATTTATAGATGTATTGTTTTGTGACATTAGTTGCAGTCCCCACAATGTGATAGCACCCTTCCCCTTTCCACCCTGGGTTCCCTGTGTCCATTCATCCCGTTCCTGTCCCTTCCTGCCTTCTCATCCTGCATTTAGACAGAAGCTACCCATTTGGTTTCGTATATCTGATTGAACTAAGAAGCATGTTCCTCACGTGTATTATTTTTTGTTTTATAGTCCTGTCTAATCTTTCTCTAAAGAGTGGTCTTCAGAAACACTAGGTTAACAGAGTGTCTGCGGCCATAGTTTCAGGGGTTCCTCCAGTCTTTCTCAGACCATTAAGTCTGATATTTTTACGTGAATTTTAATTCTGTTCTACATTTTTCTCCTGCTCTGTTTGGGACTCTCTGTTGTGTTCCCTGTCAGGGCGGTTACTGGTGGTAGTCGGGCACCATCTAGTTCTTCAGGTCTCAGGCTAGTAAAGTCTCTGGTTTATTTGGTTCTTTAGTCCTTTGGGCCAGTATTGTCCTTGTGTCTTTGGTTTTCTTCATTCTCCTTTGCTCTGAGTGGGATGGGACCAATAGATGTATCTTAGATGGCCGCTTAGAAGCTTTTAAGACCCCAGATGCTACTCACCAAAGTGGAATGTAGAACATTTTCTTTATAAACTTAGTTTTGCCAATTGACCTAGATGTCCCCCAAAACTATGGTCCCCAGGCCCCAGTCCCAGCTACTTGGTCCCTCAAAGTGTTTGGATGTATCCAGGAAACTTCTTTGCTTTTGCTTTGGTCCAGTGTGCTGACTTGACCTGTATTGTCCTTCCTTTCACCGATCAATAAGCTTTCTTGACCCTACCACAAAATCATATCTGAATCCAGCTCTGTCTGTCTTCTCTCGTTTTTAGTATTACCATCCTGGGCAAAGCTACCACTGTATCTCACCTGGACTTCAATGGCTTCTTGACTGGTCTCCCTGCTCCTTCTCTTACCATCCATTGTCTTCAGGGCACGCAGAGTGATCTTTTTATACATAAGTCAAAACATATCACTCTGCCCATCAAAAAAAGTGAACGAAATTTAAGCAAATTAAAGAAAAATACCACTTCCCTGTTGAAGACCCTCTAATACTTTCTGTCAACATAAAATAAAATCCAAATGACTTGTCATGCACAGTCCTTTGAGATCTGATCCCTTTCTCCCTCTCCTACCTCAGCTTGTGCCAGTCCCCACTCACGCACTGTCTTAGCCTGGATTCTCTAGAAAGGCAACACCAGTGAAGTGTCTATATATATATATGTATATATGTATGTATGTATGTATATATATAAAATCAAGGAAATGGCTCATGCAGTTGTACAGGCTGGAAAGTCCCAAGTCTGTGGGTCAGGCTCAAGGCTTCTCCTGAACCCACATAGCTGCAGGGACTGGCGAACCCAAGATCGGCAGGTCAGACAACAGGCCTCTGGCTCACAGACTACGGAGGCTGACACATCCCAAGATCGGCAGGTGAGCTGCTAGCTCAAGTCCCAAGAACCAGAGGTCACATGAACAGGAGCCAACTGCAGGATCCAGAGTGAGCAAAAGCCTAGGCACCTTGCCAGAACGTCCACCTATATTGGACACAGGCCATACCTCCAAGGAAACTTCTTTCAACTGATCGGCTACTCAGCAGATCCCATCATGAAGGTGATCACTTTATATCAGATCTCATCACGGAAGTGATTACATCATTTTACGACTGACAGATTACAGCATAACTGCCAAACCACTGAGAGTCATGGCCCAGCCAAGTTGACACACAACCTTAACCATCATAGCCCACCATGCTCCAGCCTTGCTGGTCTTTCTGCTCCTCCATTTTGCCACATTCCTTCCCAACTTCAGGATTTTGCACAGATGTCCTGCCCTCTGAACTACTCTTCCTCTAGTCTTTGCATGGCTGGCCCTTTCTGACCATTCAGATCTCAACCCAAATGTTACCTCCCCGGTGAGACTTTTCCTGAGCCCTCAATGTGGCCAGTCACTCTGTCCTATATCACCTTGTTTGCATTCTCTACTGCCCGATGTTGTCTTGTTTACGTGCTTATGTGCTGTTTACCTCTTCCAAGTAGAATGTGAGCTCCATGAGAGGCAGGCTTCCCCTAGATCAGTGCCTGGAACACAGAGGCACTGATAAAACAGCTGTTGAAAGAACGAATGAGTGTCAACACAGATAAAATAATATAGCAAAGAATAATGTAGCAAATGTTGACTGAAGACATCTGTACCAGTGAGGAAGCTTTGTTTGCCTCTCCTTACTTTTTCCCTGTCGCGTTTTCTGATGCAAATTCCACCTTTGACCTTATGTATTCCACTTTAAGGAGCCCTGGCTGTTCAGTGGTTAAAGCACTTGGCTGTTAACCAAAAGGTCAGTGGTTTGAACCCAACAGCCTCTCTGTGGGAGAAAGATATAGCAGTTTGATTTCGTAAAGATTTACAGCCTTTGAAACCCCATGGGGCAGTTTTACTGTGTCCTATAGGGTTGCTCTGAGTCAGATTGACTATGGCAGTGGGTTTGGTTTTTGGGGTATTCCATTTCAGTTTCTAAGTGATTGCCAGCTCTTTACACTATTGTCTGTCCTAACAAGCTTGCCTGCTTAAAGCCCCCAACTTGCCCCATCCCTGAATTCCCTCCACAACCAATCCCAGCTGGATGAGGAGAAACCCATCATGTGTCACACTCCCTCACTTATGTACATTTAGGCTACAGGTGGAGCTGGCCTTACACCTGTGTGTCCTGACGTGTAATTGGTATGGGGCACCAAGATGCTGATCAGGAACAGGGCAGGTGGGATGAAGACCTCCCAGCCTGGTGGCCAGATCGTGCTCACCTGCATTCTAGGGTGAATTCCTGTGTCCGTTGCTCATTGTCTGAAGGGATAGAGTTAACTCAGACTTTCTCATCAGATTGCTAACCCAGAAGGCCAGTCTTGTGGGTGGGACACAACAACCACAGTGTGTTAACAGTAGTGGTTCTGCTTGGTGGAAGCAGACACGTGGTTCTCGACACGCAGTCTTTTCACTTACAGTGAGACCCAAAGGAGAGAGGGACACTGGCTAAAAAGCCTGAGGGGCCCCAAGCAAGTGGTCTGAGGTTCAGGGGAAACAATCATGCTAATTAAGGAAACCGAGGCAGTGCTGTTAATATGGGCTAAGCCAGTTTGGTGGTGGCAGGGAAAGGCTGTGAATTAAACGGTCTGCCATTGCCCAGGGCCTATCTAGCGCCTGGTCTGAGGCTTCAGCATACGACCTTCTCACCGGCTCGTGCGTTGAACTGTTGCTCTTCTCCCTTGGAGCTGGGACAGACCCAGATATGGAGCCAGGTTGGTCTCTCCTGGTACCAGGGCGAAAGGCCCCAGGTGGGAGAGCTGGGAGGGGCTTGGAAGACCAGACCTGAACCCCCCCACACACACTTTTCTTTTTAATCAGGTGGTTTTGTGCTTTTAAAACATTTATTTTCAAGTAAATGAACATCTGAGGTGACATAAAAGGATTCAACTATTGGAAAAGTGGAAGGCACCTGGGAAATCCACTGAACACTTATTTCTAGACAGAGAAAACTTGGCTGAGTTCCTTTTGCTATAGGGCAGTGGTTCTGCCTTCCAATCACCTGGAAGTCTTGTTAAAGCTAATTGTTGGGCCCCACCCTCAGAATTTCTGCTTCTGCAGGTCTGAAGTGGGGCCTGATAATTTGCCTTTCCAAGTTCCCAGGCAATGCTGCTGCTACTCCTGATCCTGAGGCCACATTTTGAGAACCCCTGTCAGAGGGTAATCCATTTATTCACCGTGCTATGAATGAAAATTTTGTAAATTGTGCTTCAAGTCAACCATTGCTTTAAACAGCTTTTATTGATATGCTTGTTTGTGTCTCCTTTGAACAGGTATTTTGATGTTGGACTGCATAATTTCCTAATTCGGTAAGCCAGTAATTTTTATTTTAGATATCATTGAATAGCATCTCTATCATGGAAGACTGAAATGGAAAATAACATCTTTGATAAATAATGACAATTATATACTTGTTAAGAAAACATCCTAACACTATGTTTTTTGTGCCTCCCAGAATCACACGTGAGATTATCCTTTTTAATCAAGGAGATCTTTATTTAAAGGCATTTATATCTGAAGTGATGGTTACCCAAGAGCTTGGAAAAACTCAGTTCCAACTACTAGCCTGCTGGAATAACTAATTGAAAAGTGAAGAGTGCCGGCTTGTATTCAGACATTAAACAGCTCGCTTAACTCATTTTCTCTGCGTTGGGTTTATTATGTCTAAGCTGAATCTACTGGTTGTTTTGCAGCCCTGAAGATACAGCTTGTTCATAATTGAACGAGATTATAGGTGGCAGTTTGTATCTTCGTTTATTGGTGATTTTACCAGAGTTGGCCTGTGGGACATATTAATTTCAAATAGCTCTTAAGTCAAACAGATTAACTAGAAATATACCAGAATATTAACATGTTGGTATGGATATCATACTTTACTGTATTTTCTAATTTTTTTCTGATACCCTTTTTTTTTTGTTTTCTTAATTTCTCATTCAAAAATTTATACACTTATTGTTTTGTGACATTGGTTGCAGTCCCCTCAAAGTGACAGCATGCTCCCCCTTTCCACCCTGGTTTCCCTGTGTCCATTCATCCCCTTCCTGCCTTCTTGTCTTGCATTTGGGCAGGAGTTGCCCATTGGCTCTTATATATTTGATTGAGCTAAGAAGCATGCTCCTCCTGTGTGTTGTTTGTTTTATCGGTCTGTCTAATCTTTGTCTGAAAAGTGGGCTTTGGGAGTGGTTTCAGTTCTGGATTAGCAGAGTGTCTGGGAACCATAGTCTTAGAGGTTCCTCCAGTCTCTGTCAGACCAGTAAGTCTGGTCATTTTTGTGAGTTTGAATTCTGTTCTACATTTTTCTCCTGTTCTGTCCAGAACTTTCTGTTGTGATCCCTGTCAGGGTAGTAATTTTTTTTTTTTTTTACATTGAGAATATATTACTTTAACAATGGTGAAAAATGATCATTAAAATGGCCTGTCAGAAATGAATCAGGGAAATAATAATAGTTGCCAAAGACTGTAAGCTAAAGATTACAAGAAAACTAGAAATCATGTAATGTGATTTGCTTTCTGCAAATATGTGACTCTAAATGCCAATTATTTCTGTCTAATACCTAACATTTAAGCTAGAGAAATAAAGTCAGCTAATAAAAAGAGCCTGTAGGTCAGATGTGGTTTTGGGTAAGTGTGTGGTGGTTCTGTTCTCCATAGTGCATGGCCATCTTCCTGTTGGTAAGATGCTCTCTGAGGGGGAATGTAGATCACCTTTGTCCTAAACCAACAGCATTTCTTGTTTGCCAGATTGCTTATGGTGATGTTCTAAGAGAGGCCATGCATACCTTGTCCTCTCCTCTGGGGCCTCATCCATAGCTGCACATTGAAATCTCCTGGGCTTACCTCAGACCCAGGAAATATGAATTGTCCTGAATTTCTCCAGCACAGCACACAGTGTAAACCACTACCTTTGAATTGACACATGGGTAAATGCATTTTAGTCAGAGGAGTAAAATACCAGAGGTCCTAGGAAAGGCAGGCATAGTAATTTCATGTCTAAACTGATTAGAAAAAGCTGTATACCTCAGGGAATAGTTTGGATTGTTTTGAGTGGAAGTCTTTGGTATTTTGTGCTACTTCAGTGGTATTGATCAAATAATTCCTTGCAGTGAATTCAAGTTTTGTACTTTTCTTATTTCCGCTACTAAGTTTCTTGAGGACAAGAATCATATCTTAATCATCTTTCTTTGATTAAATTCAAAGACTTGTATGCAATCAACCTTCAACTAACATTTGTGGTAGAAGTAGAAGAATGAGTGAATGAATGAAATGATGCAGAAAGGACAGGAAAGGTGAAGATTAAGAAGAATTGTTTATTCAACAGATAATTATTAAGCTCACTGTGTGCCATTTACTTGGATGTGCCTGGAAATATCATTGTTAGCAAAAATAGATGTGATCGTAGATTTTGTTTAACTTACAGTCTACTAAGGAAAAGAGGTATGATTTAAATAATTATAACTGTACCTGTAAAATTAAAAGTATGATATGTGCTTTTGAAGGAGAGGAATAGAATGCTATAAGAATATTTTTTTATCTGGTTCATTCCAATATGAGATGGGAGGCTTCACTCTAAACCAAGATGGAGTAACAGGAACTGGATTTACCCTTGTGCCTGAAACAAAAACTGGAGAAAATATAGAAACAATGATTTTCAAGCACTGGGCACTAGGAAACAAAGCACAATGATCCATGAGAGAAAGAAAACAAACAATGATTGCAGAGCTTACTGCCTGGACAGAATTTTCCAGGTATCGTACAGGCAGGGGGAGTGCAGGTAGAATCCGTCAGTCTCCTTAGTTGAGGAGAGAGTTGGGAGGTTAAGGTAGAGTTCACAGGGACGAGTACAACAGAGGAGAGAGCTCCTGGAAAGAGAGCTCTGGAGATCTGCAGAGGGTCCCCCTTTGAATATTCAGCTGAGTACTGATCAGTACACGTGTTATGGATTGAATTGTGTCCCCCAAAAATGTGTATCAACTTGACTCGGCCATAGTTCCCAGTATTGTGTGGTTGTCCTCCATTTTGTGATCTGATGTATTTATCCTATGTGTTGTAAATCCTAACCTCTATGATGTAACGGAAACCCTGGTGGCATAGTGATTAAGAGCTGCTAATCAAAAGGTCGGCAGTTGGAATCCACCAGGTGCTCCTTGGAAGCCGTATGGGGCAGTTCTACTCTGTCCTGCAGGGTCACTATGAGTCGGAATTGACTCAGTGGCAACAGGTTTTTCTTTTTTTTTTTTTTGGTTTTATGATGTTAATGAGACAGAATTAGAGGTAGTTATGTTAATGACGGAGTAAATCTACAGGATTGGGTTGTATCTTGTGTCAATCTCTTTTGAGACATAAAAGAGAGAAGCAAGCAGAGAGAGAGGGACCTCGCACCACCAAGAAAGAAGTGATGGGAGCAGAGTGTGTCCTTTGGACCTGGGGTCTCTGTGCTGAGAATCTCCTAGACCAAGGGAAGAATGATGACAAGGACCTTCCTCCAGAACCAACAAAGAGAGAAAGCCTTCCCCTGGAGTTGGCACCCTGAATTTGGACTTCTAGCCTCCTAGACTGTGAGAGAATAAATTTCTGATTGTTAAAGATATCCACTTATGGTATTTCTGTTATAGCAGCACTAGATAACTGAGACAAAATTTGATACCAGGAGAGTGGGGTACTACTCTGACAGATACCTAAAATGTGGAAGCAGTTTTGAAATTGTGAATAGGTAGAAGCTGGGAGAGTTTTAAAGTACCTAACAGTAAAATCCTAGGTTGCTTTGAAAGGACTGTTGATGGAATTATGGACATCAAAGACAATTCTGGTGAGGGCTTAGAAGGAAGTAAAGAGAGCTGTAACATCGGAGGCGGTGCAGACGGTAAGAAGCAGCAGCAGAGAAACAGCAGCAGCAGAACCAGGAGATCGGCATGAGACAGCACTAGAGCCAACCCACAGAATAAGAAAGCTGAGTCCTTTGCACAGGCTTTCTGGCAGAGTAGGGTGCCTCTGGGCACTTACAGGTGGAGCTAATCTTGCTGACCCACCTAGCTAGAGCTGAGTGCCTTCCGGCTGTTGTTTACTGGTGGAGTGGGGGTATCTCCAGGCACTTATTGGTGGAGCTAATGAACTTTGGGATACTTGCGGGTGCAGGGCAGACACCAGGCCAGCCCAAGGTCCCAAGGGGCCGAGAGGCCAAGGAATCAGGAAGCAGAAGCTGAAGAGACAAGGAGCATAGGAAGCAGAGCTTCCTCGGTCTCAAAGGGCAGGGCCACAACCTCTGGGGTCTCAAAGGGTGGATCTGTGGCTTTCTGGGGTCTCAAAGGGTGGCCACAGTCTCCTAGGTTTCAAAGAGTCAGATCCTCACCAGGAGGATTCAGTATGTGGGGTTACCTTTCATGAGTGCCTGTGGAATGGAGCCAGATTCGCTGCCCAAGATGAGGGGGTGGGGCTGCCATGGCCAAAGTACAGAAGAATGGGGCTGCCAGGGCCAAGAGGGTGGAGTTGCCACTCAGATGTACTAGAAGAATGGGACCGCCCAAATGCAAGGGAGCAGAGTTGCCGTTTAGTGGGCCTGGAAGGCAGAGCTGAAGCCCAGGGCCCAGGAGCCTCCACCCAGAATCAGGAGAGTGTGGCCAACGCCCAGAGTCTAGAGGGCAGGGCCACTGCCTAAATGGTTTCAGACAACAGAGAATTATTTTGAAGCTTTGAAAGCTAATGTAATGTGCTCTGCTGACTTGCTTGGTACCTGTTATCCCTTCTTTCCCCCAATTTCTCCCATTTGTAATGGAAATGTGTACTTTGTGCCTGTTTCACCATTGTACTTTGGAAGGAGAAAACTTATACTCTAGATTTCACAGATGAAGAGGAATTTTGCAGAAGATGAGATTTTGGACTTAGAATTGATTTAAAACTTTTGGGATGATATGACGGGGTCAATATGTTTTACATGTGACAAGGACATGAATTTTGGGGGTCCAAAGGGTGGAACGTTATGGGTTGAATGTGTTCCCCATAATGTGTATTGACTTGGCTAGGCCATGATTCCCAGTATTGTGTGGTTGTCCTCCATTTTGTAATCTAATGTGTTTATCCTATGTGTTCTAAATCCTAACCTCTATGACGTTAATGAGGCAGAATCGGAGGCAGTTATGTTAATGACATAGGGCACAATCTACAGGATTAGGTTATATCTTAAGTTAATCTCTTTTGAGATACAAAAGAGAGAATTGAGCAGAGAGGAGAGGGACCTCATACCACCAAGAAAGAAGTGGTGGGAGCAGAGTAGGTCTTTTGGACCCAGGGTCCCTGCACTGAGAAGCTCCTAGAT